AAAAAGTGAAACGAAAACAAAATTAAACTGAGATCCACTCCCATTTTGCCTAAAAACAATTGCATTTATTCATTTTTTCCAATTTTTATAGTTTTTTTTCATTTTGGTTTTACTATGGAAGTTCAATTTTATTACTTGACTTTCAGAAGAATTTCTTACATGTCTTTTAATTGCACAAAAGTCATAAGGTTGAGTTATTAATTTTTCTTCTCTCATTAAGAGGAAAGGTCATTCACACATGGTTTAAGAAGGGCAGGTTTACTTCTAAAGCATGGGTTATAATCTGAATATATTTATACTTTATGGGGTTGAGATGACTCAGCAGTTAAGTATACTTACAGGCCTTGCAGTGGATCTGGGTTCAGTTCCCAACACCCATATGGTGGCTCATAATCTCTTCTAACTCCAATTTTAGGGTATCTAATATTCTCTGACCTCCACAAACACCTGCATACAGATGGGTCATACAAATTCATGAAATCACATAGACATCACTACAGCATTAATCTTTTAAAAAGGAACTTAAGTTTTACATGTGTGCATACATGCATAAAGTCCATGTGCTTCTTCAGAGGACCATAATTATTAATAATTTTTCAGAAAAAAATTTAAGATAGAAATCACTTAATGGATCATGATGGCCTATCAGGATATTTTGTTTTTTTTACAGTGGTGAAAAAGAAGCAAAAAGTATCCAATGACAGATGTAACAGTTCAGCAAGTGAAGCTATGTTTGTAGGAGACTAGTGTAATATAGTCTTACAAAGTTTTAAAGTAAGCAAACTGTACAGAAACACTGTTTATAATAAATAGTACATAGAACAAATAGCATAAAGACTGATTAGCATTATGTCCACAGCTATGTAATGTTCGGAACTGAACAAGACTAATGAGAACATGGACATTATAGTCATGCTTGTTAAAAGAAGAAAAAAAATCTCTTTTCCCCAACCTTTAGCTATCTCAATTCTCTTTGATTATTTAAAATAAGAAACCTGCTTAGTGTCACCAACATATTACCTAACCATAAGCTGAACAAGGACAATAGCAATAGACATGCTATGTAAGCAAGGGAAAGGTCAAGGCCTCAACCCTACACAAAGATCTACAGGAGGCAACTAAGGAATGTTGAGAGCAGGAGAAATAGTCTTCCATGGGAAAGAGCATATCAATTGGTTATCGAATGGTGTGACCAATATCAAGTGGCCAGACCTGAAAACATACACACAAGTACCATTATACAGACAGAGTAGGTTACAGTTAGACATGCATATATGAGTATATGAGTATGCATATATATATATATAATTGATGGCTATAAATGTATATATATATATATATATATATATATATATATTTGATGAAATAATAGGCCATGAATTTTAAAGATAGCAAGGAGGAGTATATAGGAGGGATTGGAGGGAGGAAAAGGAAGGGAGAAATGATTTAACACATCCTAGTTAAATATCTGGCTTATGTTACGACATTACGGCTGAGATATGAACTTTTTCTTACAACTTGAGATATGTGAGCATATAAATCTAAAATTATCTTAGCACCATTGATGAATAATAAAATAAATGTGTTCTTCCACAGGTGCACCTACAGACACATACAGTCACACATCATGCTAGTAAGTGGGGAGGAAGCAACTGTAACTCACTGCCATGCACACAGGAAAAGAAACCACTTCACAGCCTTCAGCTCACTGAACTGTGAGCAAATGATGGTATTATGAGTAGGTTTTCTTCTTCTAAATGTACATGTTTCCTATTGAATTTCCTTGCAAGTCACACCCAAAGCTATAACTACATTGTTACCGTTTCACAAATCATGGTTTTGTTTTTATGGTACTTCTGACACCATCCTTTTCAATGACAGCACACCACCCAGACAGATAATCCCTTCTACTTCTAATTTCCAATGACCCTTGACACATTTAACTCTTGGGCAAAGCTTGAGTTTCCCTCTTTCCTTTCTTTTCTTTTTTTTTTTGTTGTTGTTGTTGTTTTGGGTTTTTTGTTTTTGTTTTTGGAGACAGGGTTTCTCTGTGGCTTTGGAGACTGTCCTGGAACTAGCTCTTGTAGACCAGGCTGGTCTCAAACTCACAGAGATCTGCCTGCCTCTGCCTCCTGAGTGCTGGGACTAAAGTCGTGGGTCACCACCATCCGGCTCCCTCTTTACTTTGTATGGTTTTATCAAGGGCTGGGTCAAAATTGCATCAGAGGAGACTGAAATGCTCAACATATAACACCACAGAAGGGACACCAAACAAGTATGGTGTGTGTGTGTGTGCGCGCGCGCGCGCGCGCGTGCGTGTGTGTCTGGTGTGTGGTGTGTGTGTGTGTGTGTGGTGTGTGTGTGTGTGTGTGTGTGTGTGTGTGTGTGTGTCTGGTGTGTATGGTATGTGGTGTGTGTGTGTGTGTGTGTGTGTGTGTGTCTGGTGGGCGGGGTGCGTGGGGGGGGTGTGGGTGTGTGTGGGTGGGT